CCTTTTCTTTTTCCTTTTCCTTCTCTTTTTCCTTTTCCTTTTCTTTCTCTTTCTCTTTCTCCTTCTCCCTCTCCTTTTCCTTCTTCATCTCCTTCTCCTTCTTTGCTTCCTCATTCTCTTTCTCTTTCTTTTCCTCTTTCTCCTTCTTTTCCTCTTTCACCTCCGGCTCTTTCCCCTTTTCCTTGTCCTCATCCTCATCGGCGTCACCCTCTTTCTTCTCTTTCGCGTTCCCTTCGCCGTGCTCCGCGGTGAACTTCTTGAAGCTGGACTGGACTCTGTCCTTGAAGCCCTTGAGGCCGGCCACGACGCTGGCAGAGGTCGAGGGCTGCTTCTCCTCGAGGCTCCCCTGCGGGGCTCCCCCGGGCTCCTTCATGAATTTCGGCATCTTCAGGTGGAACTTTTTCTTCTTGTCGCGCTCCTCCGTCTCCTCGGAGATGCTCACGATGGCCTCCACGTTCTCGGGCTCCTTCTGGGGGGCGGGGCCGTCGGGCGCGTCTGGGAGGACCTTCACCCCGATCCGGCTGATCCGGGACTCCGGGGACTTCTCCGACGGGTTCGCCTTCACCCGGGCGGATTTGACGGGCGTGGCCTTCGCCTGCTGGTGCTCGTTCTCCCAGTTCACTCGTGAGAGGAGCTTCTCGTTCAGGCTCCCTCGTCCGCTCCCCTCGCTCTTCACCTCTTCTCTCTTCTGCACTGCGCTCAGGCTCTCCTTCCCGATCTGAGCACGAGGGAGGAAATAGGATCGTGATGCAATGGCAGATCCTTCGAGTTAGGTTAGATCTGAGATCAGAATGATGGATGCAATCGGAGGTCGGAGGATGAAATGCCATTGGGTCATGGTAGATGAGGCTGTCAGCCGCTTTGGAATATTACCCTACTCTTTGTTACGAAAGCAGATTCTAATTGAAAGACGTGTCTTACTAAAAACCATATGGCAAAGACTACGACGATCAATTTCATTCAGAGAGCATTAAACATTTTTTAAAATGAAATCTTTGCTTCACACCATTAGAGAAACTCAGCCGAACAGCCTCATCCACGACCCGACCGCTCGACGAGCCCATCTCCCGCGTCGATCGCAGCCGAATGCACAAACCCGAGTGAGGTCGTCGATGGACTGAGATCGGTAGAAAGGATGGCAGAGTCGGTCCAGTCCCAAACCGGACCCCAGGCCAGCCTGGGATCCACCGGCGGCAGCGGCCGCAGCGGCGGCGGCATAGCTCCCAGAGGACCTCTTGAGGGAATGGCTCCCCAGCAGGGGATCCCCGGGTCCCCTCTCCAGTTCCAGCCGCACCTCGTAGGGCGACGCGTAGGAGAGGATCGTGAGGGCGTCCTCGAACACCATGTGACTGAAGCTCACCGTCACGCTCAGGATGCGATCACCTGCTCCGTGACAATAGAGGCGTCACGCTCTGCTCTTCCTAACTCGAGCTAGCAATTTTTTTTTTTCAAACGGAGAAGTACTTAATTTTCGAGAGAGAGAAGTGAGTCGGTACCGTACGCTTCGATTTACTGTTCTCACGCCGACTTTGGGCTCGAGATTAATGTTTTCCAATTACAGCAGGCTACGAAATATGTGACGTCTGCATCGTGGGCAAAATAAACACGGCAGAACTTTGTTTTATGGATATCATTTACTCAACCTATAATAGAAAATGATCGACATGCAGAAAACGACATTCCCTTTTCCAGCACTTGCCACTCGAGAGCTTCTCTACGCATCGGGATTGACCTCTTTTTTTTGTTGGTTTATTAGAGGAGCGGCCGGTCGACTCTCACCGGGTCTGGTTGCAGCCGAACACACCGGTTCCATCGTGGAAGATCGTATCGAGGAAAGACCGGTAAGAAAGCAACGCATTCTCATGCCTGTTCTGGAAAAGTGACTCATTCGAGTTTTTGGTATGGCTGACCTTCGCCTTTTCTTTTTCCTTTTCCTTCTCTTTTTCCTTTTCCTTTTCTTTCTCTTTCTCTTTCTCCTTCTCC